AGAGTCATCCTGTAACGACTCGTTACTAAATTTCTAAAAGATTAAAGTATTGAAATACCAAATGGCTCGTAGCTTCGAATGTTACTCGCCCACAACCACCATGACAAACCTTCAGTCAGTAATTAATTATGACAGGAAAGGTTTTGAAATAATTACTAAGCATAATAACAAAGAATTGATAATTACTAATAATAATAAAGTATTTGTAATAATAATATATATATATATATTATATTTTGATCGTTGCTGTATTATTTGCATTCAATTTATAAAACACCTCCATTTGTTTGTGTGTTTACATAAACTGACTTTATTATTATTATTATTATGTGTGAAAGTAGTAGTAATAGTTTTATTATTTTTTAAAATAGTTATTAAAAATTGTTTGAGAATGTGTGTGTGTGTGCTTAAATCATTCTAATTGATTTTTTATTGAATGTGTGCGTGTGTGTGTGTGTGTGTGTGTGTAAAATATCTATAAAGTTGTCTTATAATAAATGTAATGGCTATTAAACGAGCAATTATATTATAGTGAATCCCGAATTGATGGTGCAATGGATAAGTCGCTTGGCCCTTCTTTCGCAGCGACCCTGTTCGAATGCAATCGAGACCTCAAGGCAGTCATATGCGAATTCATATTCAATACATTAGATGTAGTGTGTGTCAGTTTGTGTATTTGTCAATATGGCTTGTATTTGTTGTAATAATTACTGCAGCTGCTACTACTACTACTGCGGCTGCTACAACTGTTACTTTTATTACTACTACAACTACTACTACCAACACCACCACTACTACTACTACTACTACTACTACTACTACTAATAATAATAATAATAATAATAATAAAACTGATAAAGAATAATAACGTAATAAATAATGTAAAAAAATGTAAAAAAAATCAAACCCCTTGAAGAAATATGTATTGATAACTGCAGCACGTACTGGCACTTTTCAACATGATTTTCGTAGAAATATATCTGACACTCAAATCAAATGTCACACACACAAACACACACACACAAATACACACACACACACATTCGAACACACAAAACACATCACAGACATACACGCACAACACACACACACGCACAAACATAACAAACACACACGCTCAACAAACATACACTCACAACTCACACACACCACACACACACACACACACACAAACAAACAAACACCACACAGATTTTTTAAAGAAATTTTTATAAGACGCAATACAAATTGCTATAATGATATTAATCAGATCAGTAGTATTAATAATAAGAATGAATGAATGAATGATTGAATGAACGAACGAACGAATGAATGAATGAATGAATGAATGAATGAATGAATGAATGAATGAATGAATGAATGAATGAATGAATGAACGAACGAACGAACGAACGAACGAACGAACGAACGAACGAACGAACGAACGAATGAATGAATGAATGAATGAATGAATGAATGAATGAATGAATGAATGAATGAACGAACGAACGAACGAACGAACGAACGAACGAACGAACGAACGAACGAACGAACGAACGAACGAACGAACGAACGAACGAACGAACGAACGAACGAACGAACGAACGAACGAACGAACGAACGAACGAACGAACGAACGAACGAACGAACGAACGAACGAACGAACGAACGAACGAACGAACGAACGAATGAATGAATGAATGAATGAATGAATGAATGAATGAATGAATGAATGAATGAATGAATGAA